AGAGAGAGAGAGAGAGAGAGAGAAGAGATAGAGAGACAGACAGACAGACAGACAGACAGAAAGACAGAGCGAGAGACAGAGAAAGAAAGAAAGAGAGCTTCATGATCTATTATTTTGCTTTTTATGAACAAAAAAATATAATTTTGTAGACAGAATTGTTAAAGTGCGCTTCAGTAGAACTAACTTTTTATTTCGTATGGGGTTGGGTTGGTTTATTGTTTCTGTTTTACTTTTTGCTTTTGGTTGGGATTTTTTTAGCTTGTTTTATTTTTGCTCTTATTTTAAGACTTTGGGAGCTCTGCAAGTAATTATTCCTCTAAAAAGATATAATTACATACTACATCAGGAGAGAATGATAAGGCCAGGAACCTAGCAAGCAAACAGATTTGAATTTCATATAATTTGAATTTCATATTTCGTTACTGGGAAACAAATTTCAGAACTTGCAACCAATGTTTTCTCTTTTAAAGCTGAGAGTACTGAACACAGACATGTTTTGCGTCCATCTTACAAAAGCAATTAAATTTTTTTAAAGATATTAGGACTACCCTACTTGTTAACTGATACCCATTAGAACTTATTTTTATATTCAACTAGTAAGTTTTAATATGCAGCGAAACAACAGTAGAATAGAAACTTGATTGATTTGTATCTGTTTCACCTAATCATGATTTATTTTTCTATACGGGAATAAGATGGTTGTGTCCTTCTTAAAAACAGATGAAGAAACTAGCATACAATATCTGTACACATTAACGACTGCTTTATCCATCTTTGAAATTAACATACAATTTGAAGTTTTCAAACAATTGAAATAAACCAAAAGATCTTGAAATAAAAGGTGGAAATTCTTTACTAAAGTTAGAAAAAAATTGGCTCAATATAATGCTTAAAAGGGAAGACATTGATGAGAGAAAAAACAACAACCCAACAACAATTACCTGAAGTGCTAAAGTCAGAAGTTATTTGGCGTCGCCAGGTAGATCCAATTCAGGCGTTGTACTGGACGGCTTCTTGTCTCGATTGCTTTATCGATTCTCAGAAGAGGCCAACGACTGTAGCAGACGTAATCCGACAGTTGTGACGGGATGAAGCGACACCTGTTCTAGCTGTCGTCTGCGCGAGATTGCTGCTTCGGCGGCTGCTGGGTCAAAGGAGGGAAAAAAGAAAGGACCGTCTTCTTCTGGGGGGCACCCGAGTTCTTCTGCGCCGAGAGATCAAGATTGCTCGAAGAGAAAGATGCTGTGACGTCACGAGGGAGTGCTGATCAACCAATCAACGACCTCGGTATTATTTGCTGCAGGATAGAAAAGTAAACTCCCGCGAATGTTAAAACAAACTAATTTCGCGGATTCTTGAACTTAAGTCTCCCTTTCCAAATTTAGAAAGACAAACGGACGAGCTGAGAGGGGTGCGTTATCTGAACTTTTGAGGTAAAAAAAAAGCTCAGGTTCTCTCCGTATTTTTGCGAGGCAGAGAAAATACCAGGTAGGTAACTTAAACAGTGGAGGGGAAGGACGGTCCACGCTATGGCTAATCACTCCCACACGTCCTGTGTCCAAACTCTCTCGTCCTCTCGACCTTTCTCAACGATGTGGTGGAGAGGAAGAAGCTGCTGCTACTGATATATAATCCCCCCCACCAAGGCCCGCCCTCGCGATTTTTCCAGGTGATTCTGCGTGACACATCGGGCAAAACCGGCCTCTAAATGCCACCTCCACCCCCCTACCAATCCCCC